CAGATTTTTATTTCTTGATTTTTGACTTGGTTGATTTTTTACTGAGCATTAGCAGTACCTATCTGTTGGCAGTTGGGTTCGAAAGCATTTGTTTTTCCAGAATTTATGAAGTGACCGCACTAGTGGTGTTTGCTGCAGCTGAGAGTTCTCTGCCGCTAATCCACAGCAGAGCAGCAACATTTGTTCAGTTGTTCATGCTTCTCTATTTCGCAGCACTTAAAGGGGAACAAACACATTCTTGTGTCTTGTTACTAAGTGTACTTATGTGTTTGGGTGGGGAGAGAATTAAATTGTGCTTTGAAAGTATTTCTCTCTGCCAAATTAAACCTGCCTCTTTTCCTTGTCTTGTCTTTTTTAGGTCAGATGTACCAGCAGTACCCGCAGCAGGCCGGCTATGGTGCTCAGCAGCCACCCCAGCCGCCCCAGCCACCCCAGCCGCCCCAGCAGTACGGTATCCAGTATTCAGGTGAGCACGTGTCCAGAGGGAGGTGACTTATTGATTGTGAGCTGTTCCTGTACTCATTAAACTTGAATCCTTTCCTCTTAACTCCTTGGTTTGTAATACTTACTTACATTGTCATAGGAGGTGTTAAGTATTTATTTGTGGGAGGAAATAATATTTGTTTATTTTTAAGTATTTTGCATGAATATTTTATTATAAATCAACATTTCAGTCAACAGTCATAGATGATTTTGTAATAACTTACAGTTTGAAAACATTTTTAACGCAAGCTATCTCATACTGATATGATCTCCTTATCTCTCGGGTGATTTAGAACAGCAAAAATGCAAGATTTTTTCACCCATTATATATGTCACATATAATTCCAGTGTACTGTAAAAATATTAACATTTTCCTCCTACATGAAAAGGCAGTCTTAATAAATAACCAAATTAAGCTACTTAGGTGTTTAAATCTCCCAGAGTATGTAGGAATACCAAAAATAGGCCAAAAAAATAGACGTGTGTCAAATGTAATCCAGGCAGCTAAGAACGTTGAATATAGTTGTTTTAAATAGGCATTCTGGGTATTTTCTTTTACCATCTGTCCACTGAAGATTATCCATATTTAAATATGAAATCTCTCTAATGTAGCTTTGACCATGATGATTATAAATCACGTAATTTTACATTTGTTAGAGAGTTTACGTTTCACAGCCAAAGATTTAAGTATCAAAAGTTCATGTAATTAAAAATAATTTATCTAAGTTGAATCTTGCCAGAATTTTGTTTTACAGAGTTTTTTAGTTCAACTGGAGCAGGAATTAGCAAACTGTAGCCACGGGCCAAATGTGGCACGTCACCAGTTTTTGTGAATTAAGTTTTATTGGAGCACATCTACACCTGTTCATTTTTGTGCTGTCTGTTGCTCTGTTGTGGCAGAGCTGAGTAGTTGCAGCAGAGACTGGCCCACAAAACCTAGAATATTTACTCTCAGGCTCTTCACAGAAAAAAGTAGGTCATGACTCCTGCACTAGACCATAAAATTCTATCTTTAGTTGGAGTTTTGACATACTTTCACGCATATGGCAATTTTTATTTGGATTATATTTGCTATAGAGTGATTTAGCCTATAGCTGCTAGTTTATGTAAAGTAAGTGGGATGAATTTAAACTTGGATTATAATATTAGGATTATTTTAGGTTTGCAGTCCTTTAAGGTCAGAGTGTTATAAATTATATAATTTATAGAAATAATATCAGAACTGAAAAGACCTAGTCATCATTCTAATCCAGGGGATTTCAACTCCCTCTGTGCTTCAGAATCACCTGGAGAGTTTTTTTTTTTTTTTTTAATGAAAGTTACAGGTGCCTAGGCTCTACTCCTAGAAATTTTGTTTGATTTGATTAGAAGTGGGACTCAGGCTTTGATATTTTAAAAGCATTGCAGGTCATTCTAAAGTGCAGGCAGGGTTGGAAACCATTTGTCTTTGTGTCACCCACTCATTTTATAAATGAGGCAGTTAGGGTTCAAAGAGGTTGTGACACATGGAAGGACACAACAGCCATTCAGTGGGGGAACTCAGTCAGAGCCAGTGTACTTGACTTTGCTGTTAATTATTTATATCATTCTGCATTCTCCAGCCTAGGCCAGTGGTAGCAGACTTACCTGCCATAAAAGGCTAGGTAGTAAATATTTTAGACTTTGTGGATCATAACGATCCCTTGTCCTACACTACTCATTAATTTTTTTAAAAAGCCCGTAATTTCCATTTCTTGAGATTTTTGTTCACCAAAGTTTTTCAAGGGAGAGGGTGGGGCTATACACATAATAGAAGCATTGCCACATTATGATCAAAGACTAATAGGTTGCTAATGAAATGGCATTAGGCCCATAGGAGTTATTCCCTCTGTTGAGAAATAATTAAGGATCTGGTTGTTCCCAGACTCAGTTAAAAATCCAATCTAGATTTCAGCTGCCAGGATGAAAAGGCAGCAGCATTTTGCTCATAGTCTTAACTTGTATAGACATTTTCAGTGTAAGAGCTGAGTCCTTCTGTTTCTCCAAAAACTTAGAGTAAAAAAATGAAGCGGATAAATTTTATGTAGAAGATAGGAGAAGTTGTATGACATTCAAGATTTTATCATGAATTGACTTCAATATTTGGATGCTACCATAAGTAAAATGCCTTAGATACTTGATTTACTTATTAAAAGTTAAGCTTGTTAATGATTTTAGTCAGTCTTCACTGGAGTAAAATTTAGTTTTCAAATCATCATCTTTGTATTTCTGATCCCACTAGTCCTATTAACTTGAATTTGATTGGGAGATGTGGAAATAGTCAACTAAATACTCTGCTTGGAGACTGTAAGTGGTGGTGGTAACATTGGACCATTTTTGACACTGTTGGTTTGGCAGTTTCCCTCTGACCTTTTCCAGTTTTACTCATGGACTATGTCAAAAAGGTTTCTTTCATGAGTAAATTTTGAACCCAGGTTCAAGGTGAGTTCAGAATATACTCAAATTCATTCAATCCTTTTTTTGTTTTTTAAATGCAGGGTTGTACATATTTTAATTATTTTCTTATGTATCTGGTATTTAATGCTGACAGGATTCCAGTCATTGGAGAGGTTTCATTGCAAGTAGCTGCAGGTGTGTTTCATGGTAGAGATAAAAGTTTTCAGTGAAGCCGACTTGTTCTTTTAAAAAAATTGAAAAAAAAAAATCCTAGTTAATAATGAATGTAGATGTTGATATTGTGGGGCAATATCATATGCTTTTTATGTGTTATGCTGTTACTTCTAAGTCAGAATTCTGAGCTGTAAAGGCAAAAGATCAGATACCGAATCTAAAAGATTTTAAGGATTGTGAAAATGGGTACTTAATATTTATTCTTAAGTGGCTTAGTTTTTATAGAAAGTGAGCCTTAAAGCATCTCATTAGCACAGTAAGATGTATTTGTTAGCACCATTGCTTCATTTAAAAATATTGTCTCAATGTGTTTTTACTTGGTACAGTTGTTAAATAGGCCTCTCCTCCACACCAGGTTAATGACTAGCTTTATGTTAATTCCTGCATTTATCATTTGAGCATCTGTTCTGTACTAGGAATTATGCTACAACAGGTATTTGCTCTTAGGGATTATGTAGTATAGAAGCATTTGTAATGAAATATAGAGTGGTTTCAGTTTAGATTAGAGGGTTTAAAAGAACTATTTAGAAAATCTTTTTTTGATACTATTTGGTTTTGAAGTGATATTATAGGATGGACTGTACTACTCTATTTGTTATATAAATACTTAGGAATAAGTTTAAATTTCTCATCTTTTTTGGTCCATAACAGTAAGACTATTCTCTGGAAAGCCTTTCACCAAAAGAAAAATAAGATCTATATGTACTTTATTTTGCCTTTTCAGCAGGCTATAGTCAGCAGACTGGACCCCAACAACCTCAGCAGTTCCAGGGATATGGCCAGCAACCAGCTTCCCAGGCACCGGCTCCTGCCTTTGCTGGCCAGCCTCAACAGCTGCCTGCTCAACCACCACAGCAGTACCAGGCGAGCAGTTACCCTCCACAAACTTACACTACCCAAACTTCTCAGCCTACCAGTTATACTGTGGCCCCTGCCTCACAACCTGGAATGGCTCCAAGCCAACCCGGGGCCTATCAACCAAGACCAGGTTTTACTCCACCTCCTGGAAGTACTATGACTCCACCTCCAAGTGGGCCTAACCCTTATGCACGCACCCGCCCTCCCTTTGGTCAGGGCTATACCCAGCCTGGACCTGGTTATCGATAAAGAGGCTCAGCTACACTGATGAATGTAGCTGATAGCGGTTTGCCTCCCAAAAGACTCCAGTACTACTATTTTAATTTGTATTGAAGTTCAGAAATTTAAAAAGCAGAGCATTTTTTATGGTATCATTGTTGCTGTTAATTGAAAGTATAATTTGCTGGAACACAAAAAGATCAAAATGAAAGTTTTTTTCTTCCCTTGCTTAAAAGTGTAGCAGCTGCCTAGTTATTTTGGAACACTACTCTGATGTGCGTAAAGTGATTGACTTTCTAGCTTGCCTTGTCCGGAGGATATTAAAACGCTAGGCTGAAGTTTAGCCATCTGAACTTGGCTTTTTATTATTAACATGATGTACTAAAATATAGATCCCTTTGAGAAAACAACTAGGTATTATGTATAAAATGTAACATTGATAGGTTAATAAAGATAATTGAATCCATTAGTGGTCTTGTATATGTTAATGACTAAATTACATGAGAAAAAAAATTTTTTGCTGTTTGGTCTCAAAATGAAGTATAGGCGTTTTAACTTAGAGTTTTCTGTTCCAAGAAACATGGTGCCATTTGATTTTTTGTCCTGACTTTGAAAGAAACGCATTTAATCTATCATTGGTTTAAAACAATGAAACTTTTTAAAAATAGATTTCAGAGGAAGACAAATTAACATTACATAAAAACACAACAGATATGGGGGGAGTTGGGTAGATCCTAATAACTTAGAGATGAATCATTGAGAAATGAAGAACTCAGTCTTAAAAAAACTACATCTCTTTATTGCAGAGTTTATACTTGCTTGAAAAATACAAAATGTAGCATCGATAAACTTGAAGCATGTTGAAGCAGAGGAAAGGTCCTTTCAGAAAGAGGGCAACAATGCAGCATTCCCATGTCCCTCCGCAAATGGACTTTTTTTTTTTAAAATAAATGAGATTTTCATTACAAGTTGAGTTAGACAGAATTATGAAAACATTCTCTGATACATTCATTCCTAGAGGTCTAAAAACAGTACATGGCCTGTAAAGTGGTAGGGATGTCATGCATTACTTCTGTGCTCAGACTTCACATTCAGTCTCTATGTACAGCTTCATTAGAATTCTATTAACAACAGTATGAAGACAAATCCCTGCTTAAAGGGATAGTTTGATAAAGTACATTCAGACATTGTAACATATTTATGGGTAGAGAAAGAACAAAATGTGTATTTTGAAATTGAGTAGATCAGATATTCTAACAGTTTTCAGTAATTTGCAAAGATTTAAGGAAATGTGTATCGGCATGAATGGTTAACTATTGATTGAAATGCGTCAGGAAAGCTATTTAGCTATTGCTAAAAATTTGAAGTTTATATAAACATGAATATTAGGACCTTTTTTCCCCCAGATACAAATGCTCAGATAATTTGATCTAATAAGTTAAACCAAGTTGAGATTTATGGAATTAACTCACCAGTAAGAATACACTTTAATAAAATATTTTTTTAAAAGTATATTAGTTTTTGATGTTAAATTTGTTATAAAAGTATCTCAAAACATCATTACAACAGTGATAAATAATATACAAATGATCTCTTAAAATACCATGGATAGGGAGCCAGCTTCCCTAAAAATGTTATCCTGTTAATGTCAATATCTTGTTTTCTTAAAAGGATTTTGTAAAACCTGATAAATATTCTCAGCAACATTTCTAATAAACATCTACTATGGCTATTACACTTTAATACATAGTAAACATAACAGCTTTAAATGAATGTGACAAATACTATAGTGCTTCCAATTTTTTTTTTGCCATGATAAACAGAAGGCACTTTTGATCCTGATTGCAGCATCTACCATTTTCCAGGAATTGTGGTCCCACATTCATACCACTGGACATAATTGATTTGGGTGTGACCACCTATTTCTCCAAATTGGACAGGTTCCTGACGAACTGCTCTGAAATAGCCTAAGAAGGGAAATAATTTTATTTTAATAGCTGCTATATTTTTGCCCTCACCACTCACAGATTGAAGGGTGTCCTTGAATGGCTGAATGTTACTCTAGGGGAAGTGTTTTAGAAAATGGATAGCAACAGAGAGCCTGGTGTCTTCCCTGAGGTTGTAATGGCTGGCTAAACATGAGGGGCACCTGAAACTCCTCTGACCTGCGCTTTAACAAGGTGGGATGAGCCGGTTGGTAGTGTCTGAGAGACAAAGCTGAAAAGGGGCAGAGTCGGAGGGGTTTTGTGTTTTGAGTGTGATTGAGCACATTCATTATAGTCTACACACAGTACGGACTGGTTGTGGTCTATGAAGGTGCTATTTACTAGTGTTAGGAAACAAAAGGGTAGTTCTAAGAACACTAAATTTCTAAAAATTAAACAGGTGAAATCTTCCTTCGAGGACTCTACACTAAATGATTAAAATTTTTGTGCGAATGTAAAATGTTTTGGCAATATACACAATTTTACAGTATGTTTTATATCCAATTCCTGAGAAGCAGCAGTTGCAACTTCCTGTTAATGGGTTCACAGATAAAAACACCAACATAGTAAAAGAGGACTTAAATGCCATTGAACAAAATGTGTTGCTGAAAAGACGAGTCAAATAATGCAGAAACCTGTTAGTGACTGCTGAGTAATATGGACAATAATTTACTCCTGCCCTGCCTAAGGATTAAATTTCAGTCTTTTAAATCCTCATGGAGCAGCTTAGTGCTAATAATGTCTTTAGCAAGTTACAGTGGTTATTCATTACTCACCAGAATTGCTCAGTTTTAATTATATTTATGTGGCAAATAATAAGGGAATAAAAAAATGCCTGTGTGCTCTGTAATACAGGAATGTAATACAGGAATGATTAAAGTTGGGAAACACTACTCTTCTATAGCTGTTTTTGCAAATTGAAGTGTTCCTGAAGTAGAATGTCTTTATAGATGTCTGTGTGTGATTTCCCTTAGCTCTAAAATAGAGTCTTAAGGACTGGGAGGAAAGTTGAAACACTTCTCTTAAGGTCTTACCATGAAAGTCTTTTTTTCTAGTCAGATAATTAGAGCACTAGTCCTGCAGAATTATTTTTAAAGTGATTGCTTTCTAAGCTTAGCTTGAATTCTGTGTTAATTTGTAAAATCCTCTTGCTTAAGAGGAGGCTCAGAAAACATACCTTCTTTGGTGGGTAACTGGTCAGAACTGAGTTGCTGTCCTGTGCGTCCATCTAAAAACGAGTCCACAAACTGGCAGTGGTCTTCTCCATGGCCTCTCTGATCGCCTATGTTATAAAATTTTCCTAAGGAACGAGAAATTAAAAGGTCATGAAGTATTACTTTTTGATAGAGGACAATTCTGAAATATTCAAAGTTTTTCAGATAGAGTCTTTTCCGTTTTTGTACTCCCCCCCGCCCCCTTCACCGTAGCTCCAGCCACCAGTGTCTTGACTGAACTATGGAAGTCTTCCAGCTGCCACCACTGCTTTTATTCCTTCCTCTCTCTAACTCCTTCCCTCCCCCTGCTCCCAGAGATCAGTCATCTTTTTATTTTCTATTTTTTAATTTTATTTCATTTTTTTTAAAAGATTTTATTTATTTATTAGAGAGAATGAGATAGAGAGCATGAGAGGGGAGAGGGTCAGAGGGAGCCCGATGCGGGACCCGATCCCGGGACTCTGGGATCATGACCTGAGCCGAAGGCAGTCGCTTAACCAACTGAGCCACCCAGGCGCCCCAAAATCAGTCATCTTTTTAAAATGCAGCTCAGATAATGTTACTCTTCATAAATCTCTCCTGCAGTCTCCTATTATAGTCAAAAGAAAACCCCAAATCCTTACCTGGTGTCAGAGCTCTTCATGATTCTATGCCTGCCTGCCTGACCTTCTGCTTACTAAGCCTCAGCCACACCAGTAGCACTCGCCGGGCCCGTGCCGGCAGGGACCTTTGCCTTTCTCTGTCTACCTCTAATGCTTCATCCCTGGATATTTGCTGGGGTGGTTCCTTCTCAGTTTTCTTCTTAGCACAAACCTTAGCTGTTCAGAGAGGCCATTCTAACTAAAGCTTCCACTCGGCCATTTTCTCTCACCCTTTCTAATTTTTCTTCACTACATGCAATTTTTATTTACATATTTGTGGTCTGTCTCTACTAAAATATAAGCTGCAAGAAAGCAGAATATGTTTTGTGTACCGCTTTGTCCTTAGCACCTAGAAAACCTCTGAACAGAGCAGCTGTTTGAATGACTGACCAAATGTCTACCTTTCCATGTTGGGGCCAGCCTTGTTTAAAATTTTTACTGCATGAATGCAAAAGAAAAAATAACAGCGCCACTGAGTCTGGAGCAAGGAGTTACCACTCTTCGGTCGGGTGTTTTGATCTTGTCTCTGGGAGACTTGAAATCTTAAGTATGCCCTATTCCTTCTGCGATGATTGTTACATACACTCATTTTATTATCAGTAGGTTCTCGGTCCCTGACGGCTGTAACAAAATTGAGCTTCAGTGGGGCAAGTGCCTTTACATTCAAGTTTTCCTTGATGATTTTGTTTCATATTGCATTTTCATTATTTACATTCTAATAGCATGCCTCAAATCCCAGGCTAAGTATTTCAGTAACATCTTGCTCAGAAGGAAGAACGGTGTTTGTATCACACCCTTAAGTGTCTGGAGCTAGCCACAGAAAAGGCCATGTTAAAGAATGCTGGAAAGCATTCCCGGAAGGCTTGAAACAGAGCTGGTAGTGTTACTTACCTGTGAGGGAGTCACTCAGATAAATCTTGTATCGGAGAGAGTTGCACAGCTGCACCCCTACAAATTTTTTATACCACGTCCGTTTGACATACTGTTTGCCCTTACATTCTGAGTAAGAGTCTGAATTAAAGGGTCTTTCAGTCCAGATGGCATCTCTCCCTGCTGCATAAGGAAAACACATGCTTTGAGTTTAGCATTCAACTTTGGGTATTGAAGAGCTGTCCTAAATGTTTTATAAAAAGCTGTTTGCAAAGTTCATTGTCAACCTGCTGATACCTTGTTTTCTCCAGTGCTAAATATTGGAGCCAAAATAATGTATGAGTTTGAACATAAACTCCCACCTAAGTTCCTGTCAATAGTGAAATAAGCAGTATGTTTAGGTTTCAAATAACCTATGCAGGGCTAGATGTAGATAGCATCCCCTTATGAGCAAATTTAATTTTTTGTTTTTGTTTTTGCTTTTGTTTTTTTTTGGTGGGTTTTTTTGGTAGCATAGTATATAATTTAAACAGATGCTTTAATGTGACTTGTCATTAAAGATGGACATGAGGATGTTATATCTTGACTTCAATTTTGAGCTGCCCTGGCATATGAACGAAAGCAAGTTTTAAAATACCCAACTTGTTCCCCAAACATTATAGGTTCCTCAATGTTAGGGAATGTTTTAGGTAAGCATTCCCACCTGGCTGATAGTCTAAGACTAAATGGACTAAAATGAAATCATGACCAAAATTCTGCCATGCTTATTTAGTTGAATCAGTTTAGAAAAGCATGTAGTTGTGTTCATGCTGAGACAGGTACTTACCAGAAACTGGCTCGCTCACTCTTGGGTCCGCTAAGAAATAGCAAACAGAGAGTCAGATGTTACTTTAGGTAAGTAAGCCCAGTGTGCCAATGGCATAGGGAAGAAGATGGATGCTTACGGTTAAGTCTGACTTGCAGAGTGGTACACTCTTGCTAAAGACTGAATTTGAAAGTGTATTTTGTTTTAGAATTATTTTCCATTGAACAGTCTCCTGCCAGGTACTCAGCTTTATCTTTTGGAATCTTTGTTGCTCTTCAGGCTCTCACTCCATTTTAAGGCTTCCTCTTTCAGACTCAGAAACTATTGGTGGTAAAATCACCAATATGCCATGAAGTACAGTTGGTTTAAAAATGACACAAATAATGCTGTGAGTACAGATGTCTCTTTTAAAGGAATTGGAGTGTACAAGGTCAGCAAATTGCACAGCTGCTCATCAAAAACCTACCAAATGAATTCCCTTTCTGGACGTCCTATGACTGTGTCTGATATTTTGATTCTAGGCATTGATTCTAAGCATACATACAGAGGAGCATTCATTCACTAGTTTTTTGAGTATACTGATAAGTTTTTATCTTTTAAACTGATATGCCTTTTTTTCTGACATCAAAAGAAATGAGAAAAGATGTATGTAGTTTCCTTAAGGCTACCTTTACCAATTTGCTTTTTCAAAATTCAAGAAACGCTTTATTTATAAACTGTTTATTTAGCTGGGTTTCAAAGAAGCTTCTTAGGCAAAACATTGTGGCCCTTTACATTACTGTTGATGTGATTACCTGATTCAGTACTGAATGCCACTGTGTTGCTGGGTGGGCCTTCTCCAAGTGGGTTTTTGGGTTTCACCTGGAATTCATAGCTGTGTAGGAGAGAAATATTTTTTTGTTTTAAATTGTAATATATTCTCCAAGAGTAGGAAACAACCTTCCTTTGTTATACTGAAATCCTTCCTAATTCTATTTTGAAATCATGAGGACAGTGAGTACACATATATTTGAGAAGCAGCATGGGGAAATAAACTCTTTACTTTCCAAACACCTTGTCTAATGTTTTGTATAAGGATTAAGTTAATAAAAAAGATTGGAGTTTTTAAAAAGACAGCTAACTAGTAGAAACAACTAGGCAAGTTGGTAAGGAACATACAGGAAAGAGGTATGTGGTGGACCCAGGCTAATTCCAGCAACAAGGAGTGTTTCCTTCAAATGTTTTAGCTACTTAGCTTCTTAATGGAAAGGTTGCCTTTTATTTATTATCCCAACCCTGGGCATGGTGTCCGTCTTAGGCACTGTTTTTCCTTGTGGGGCTTGAACTACCTATGTCAGGATCACATGACAGAGGGGCATTTGGGAAAGTTTGTTTAACACGCAGATTTCTTGCTTCATCTTGGCTACTGAATCAATTTTTTGAGGGGGTCTAAGTAGGCATTTATAACAAGTTCCTGAGGTGAATCATATACCCACTGACATTTGAGAACTGCTAGGCTAAGCTAGGGGAACAGATGCACATGAAAGTATTTCTTTGCAAGGACTTCCTGTTTCTGTCTCCTGGAATTCTGGTGTTCTGTCCATCACAGGAAGCCACATCTCCACAATAGGGAAATGGTAGTATCACCATGAAGAGCATGGGCAAATACTGACTTGTCCTGTATAAAGCAGATTCATATAGGCTAGGCCTTAACTCTTAACATTAAAAAACAAAACACAAAATAAACCTAGATGCCTTGGCGTTCTAAGTATGTTTGAGTCTTAAGAATTATGCATTAACTCGCTATGCAATATGACACATTTCATTCATAGAATACTTAAACAGAGCAAATCCTCTTAAGAAATTCAGGAAGTGGGGCACCTGGGTGGCTCAGTCATTAAGCGTCTGCCTTCGGCTCAGGTCATGATCTCAAGGTCCTGGGATCAAGCCCTGCATTGGGCTCCCTGCCCGGCAGGAAGCCTGCTTCTCCCTCTCCCACTCCCCCTGCTTGTGTTCCCTCTCTCGCTGTGTCTCTCTCTGTCAAATAAATAAATAAAATCTTAAAAGAAAAAAAAAAAAGAAAGAAAAATTCAGGCATTAAAGCTGTTTGCATTTGCCTGAAACTAATAAGAGTTCTTTTCAACAGCAGACTTAGCAGGAAAATATTTTGAGTGTAAAATCAACTTGAGTCAGCTGATAGTATTTCGAGTCTCAAATTTGTACAAGGCTTTTGGGAGATAATTCCCATTTTTGAGAAGTTTGTAATTGAATAAGAATGCAGAACACATAAAAGATGGAAATACGTTTTATAAATGAGTGAAAAACAGAAGGAAGACAGCTCCATTTGAAGTAACAGCTTTCTGGAGCTCCAGGAAATCAGATTCTTGACTACTGAAGCATTGCATTACAATACAGCTAGAATCTAAGATGACAGATTCTGGCATTACAACAAAGGCAACCACTGTTTGCTATATATCAGACACATTAATTGTACATATATAAAGTAATACAACACACACATAAATGCTACAAGATCAGAATTACCCTATTTTTTGGTTAAGAACAATGAGACTCTTAATCATTGTACTATTACTGTCTGCTTTTGCAAACTGCAATGAGGATTAAAGCTTCCAGGGTTTTTAGTGAGACTACACATCAAAGCATTTTGTAAACTTAATCAACTGATATTAGGTGCCATTATCACTTGCAATAACAATGCTGATAGAAAACCATGTCACTCATTTAAATAAATTGCATGCACATAAGATATTTGGGCATGGAACATTTTCTAAAGATTAAATTCTTGCTCAGAGGCCTGAGGACCTTAAAAAAACACACACACCATTATGGTGAATGGAAACTGGAAAAAAGAAATTACAAGCATCTGGACCTTGATTTAAGCGGGCAGTGCATTCCACATTCCAGGCCATTGCCAAAAACCCTGTGCTTGGGCCAAGTCTGATTGCTGGAATCATCTCTATGTCTTTTCATTTCACTGTTTAATTTAGACTTCAGCTCCCCAGATGTTCATATGCTACTTTTAATGTTTTCTTGCCAACACTTTATGATACTTGACAAGTTTTGAAGAAACCATTTAAAACTAAGTCTAATTAACAGTAGGGAAACTAAAAGGCCTACATTGTTGGGTGATCAAACCCTACACAAAGGATATATTTGAAGTGGCAAAATCTTTCTCAGCACATTCTATCACGAGATTTAGAACACTCAAGGTCTAAGAGCAATGTCTCAGAAAATACTGATTTCACATAGGGAATAAGCATAGGATGCTATTAAAAGTTTTCATAAAGGATGTTTTTTTTTAATATTTTATTTATTTATTTGAGAGAGAGAGCACAAGAGGGGGGAGGGCCAGAGGGAGAAGCAGACTCCCTGCTGAGCAGGGAGCCCAATGCGGGACTCGATCCCGGGACTCCAGGATCATGACCTGAGCTGAAGGCAGTCGCTTAACCAACTGAGCCACCCAGGCGCCCCAAAGATGTTATTTTTGAATGTAGAACAAAACATTGAATAGAAGTTTTGGAAGATCAAGTTATACAAATACTAGGACAAAAACTCAGATGAAAAATAAGCAAAAATAAGGAAATCTGATTGTTCTAGGGAATATAACACCTAACTAGTAGATTCCAGAGGGAGAGATGGGGAAAAGGGGCACAATTATCCCAGAAAGTAATTTCTCAGAGTTGAAAAACATGGGTTTCCAGATTTAAAAGCTCTATATCCTCAGCAAAAGTTAAAAAAAGAAAAAAGACTAACCAAAGCAGACAAGTTGAAAAATTTTAGAGCACTGGGATAAAGACAAGATCTTAAAAGTTTGAGAAGAAAATTGGTCCCATTGAAAGGATCCAGACTCAGAATAACATTTGACTTCTTAGCGCTGGAAGTTAGAAAACAATGAACAGGGGCACCTGGGTGGCTCAGTCGGTTAAGCGTCTTTTGATTTCAGCTCAGGTCATGATCTCAGGGTTGTGAGACTGAGCCCCACGTTAGGCTTTGCACTCAGTGTGGAGTCTGCTTGTCCCTCTCCCTCTGGTCCTCCCCCTGGCTTCCCCCTATCTATCTCTAAAATAAATACTCAAAACAAAACAAAACAAAAAAACCAAAACAAAACAGTCGAACAATACCTTCAAAAGTCTTAATTTTATTCTAAAATCTGTGTCTGCCTAAACAACAGTATCAGGAAAACAAGGATATTTCTGGACATATAAGAACTCAAAAATATTATCTTCCATATAATAATCTATTCTGAAGATGTATTTCTCAAGGAATGCCACAAAGGAAGGGAGTAAAATTAGACAAAGGTTATAGGAGATAGGGGCAAAAGGATGGTGACGGAGTCTAGGAGATAGTGCCATAAACAAACACATGGAACAAAGAAATGATGTATTTTGCCTTCTTGAGAAATGGTCAGTCTAGAAATATGGATTTAATTAACAGAAGGAATAGTGAAAATAATTGAAAATGCAAGAGAGTTGACTAAGATGGTGAAATAGAAGGCTCCTGAGCACCTCTCCTCCCACAGGCAAATCATATATACAGCTGCACATGGAGTAGTTCTCTCTGAAAGATCTAGAAACTAGCCAAGCAGCTCATACACATTGGGCAAATGAAAGAATTCCCACATTGAAACGGGTAGGAAGGGCTGAGACACACTCTTGCCATAAACCCTGCTCCTGGCACAGTATCGTATAATTGGGAGCAAATTCCCGACTCCTAGCTTCTCCATGAGGAGCAAAGGGTTTAGACCTCACATCTAGTACCCCAACTTTTAAGACTCCCACCTGAGGGATGAGGCCCATAAACACCTAGTTCTAAAAGCCAATAGGGCTTCCATTCACAAGTCCCACAGGACTGTAGCCAAGAAGCAGTTCTTAACCAGCTAAACCACCAGGACTCAGGACAGAGGGAATAGGCAAAACTATCCATATACCAGTCTTCCCCAGAAGAGGTTTATTTGCATACTTTAAAAGCTGCTGATGAACATAGGGGAAGGGAAGGAAAAATAAAATAAGATAAAAACAGAGAGGGAGGCAAGCCATAAGAGACTCTTAACTATAGGGAAACAAACTCAGGTTTGCTGGAGGGGAGGTGGGGGGGGATGGGGTAATTGGGTGAAGGACATTAGAAGGGGACTTGATGTAATGAGCAGTGGGTGTAATATGCAATTGATGAATCACTAAATTCTACTCCTGAAACTAAGAATACACTTTATGTTAACTAAATAGAACTTATATTAAAAAAAATTTTAAAAACCTGCTATCTGAGGGTGAGCCTTCTAATTATAACATATATGTACTGGCTGGCTGCAATCTTCACCAGAGACGGAAACTGGTGGACGCCTTTCTTGTCCCCTCCCTCCAGCCTGCTGCAACAGTAAAACTAAGTCACCAGTGTCTCCCTGCAAGGAGTGTACAAATGTCTGGCACCCCAGCTTTTGGAGCTGCTGTTCAAGGGATGTCCCCTGTTGCCTGGCTCTGAGAACCAATGGGGCTTGCATCCTTGAGTCCCATAATCCTGTAGCACACAAAGCAGTTTTTAACAGGTACAGGAGCACTCCTACTGGCTATATCCTGGGCCTAGCACAGAGAGAGCAGGCAAAAATGCCCATCTTCCAGTGTCTCTCTGGAGGGGGGATTAAGTACATAGTATCCTAGCTGCTCTCTGAGGGTCCAGTTTATATTAGCCTGCATCCAGGTGCTGATTGCAATTCTCACCTTTGGGACAATGATGGGTTTTGGAGCACCCTCAGCTATGGGGAGCCACTAACAATGAAGCAGGTGGCTGGAACAACCTCAGAGGTTTGAGGGACAACTAGGAACTTGGGCTGGCCTGATTCAAGAGATCCATTTCCTACACAAGATCATTCTATCAAGACTG